GTTGAGCTATAGGCGCCAAGCCTCAAATGCCAACTTTTAACTCTGAGATCCCAGCCCTCACCTTATCTTGGTCCTACCTAGAGACACTAGATCTAAGACCCCAGCCCTGAGATCCTGGGCCTGACCTCAGACTTGAGCCTGCGTATCTAAGATGCTATCACTAAAACCCTAGCTCCAAGGTTCTAGGCCTGACAACCCCCAGCCCTCACCTGGAATCAGGATCCCAGGCATCCCTGCTTCCATAGACCTTGCTCATGACCCCCAAACATGGTCCTAGAAGCCCACCCTTATGGCAACCTTTTGAACCCAACCTCAATTCTGTGAACCCAAGACCTTGGAGAGCTCCCTGCAGATCTCTATCACCCATCCACAGACTCTCTGCAAATATGCAGCCTGGACTTCCCCTACTCCAATTCAATAGAGCTCCTTCCCTGGTCCCCCACTGCACCCTCCGCCTGATTCTAATGTGAACTCTCCCTACAGATGTCCCGCCTGGCCCTGCCCCAGGCACCCCCAGATCCACCAGTGCCCCCTCTGGCCCCACCTGCCTCAGCCTGGGGAGGTGTCAGGGCGGCCCACGCCATCCTTGGGGGACTGCATCTGACACTGGACTGGGCCGTGCGGGGACTGCTGCTGCTGAAGACGCGGCTGTGACTGGGACCCAAAATCATCATCGTCCTTCAAAGCCAGATCTTATTTATTTATTTATTTCAGAACTTGGGGCTTAGCGGCCAGGTGCTACCCCCCCATCTTCTCCCCCTAGCAAGATATAGTTCTTCCATGAGATCTGGGGCGGGGGGGACATCTGTGCTTTATTTATACTTATTTATTTAAGCAATGGGATTCAGGAAGTGAGAGTTCTCCTGGGTCCTTGAGAAGGAGGAAACTGAGATCCCAGGTTCTTGGCTCTCTGAGAAGTCTGTCCATAGGGCCTCCCTGACTCCTACCCTCTGGGCCCAGACAGGAGCATATATTATTTATTAAACAATTACTTTTTGTGTTGGGGTGGGGAGGGAGGGAAGAGGGAAGCCCAGATTTTTGTACAAAAATGTGAGACATCTTTGTGAGACAGAGAACAGGGAATTAAGTTTGTCACATAGGTGGCTAGGGGTGATTTCTCTAAAGCCTGGGGCTGGACAAGGGGCTGCCTAGGGCAGGGGCAGAGGGACAAGGGGCATACCTGGGTGCTTATATGCCAGATAGGGGAAACTGAGGCTCAGAGCCTCACCCAGGGTCTAGACCAGGGTCGGTAGTAGTACTGGGACTATAAGGCGAACCCTTTAGTTGATCACCCATTTACAATAAGAAGGCTGGCAGGGGAGGAGAGGCTGATCAGTTGTCCAGAAAGTTCTGTGAAGGCAGAGTGTGAGACTCATCTGACATCCAGAACTTCCCAGCTTCTTAATAAATATTTAATAGAAGGTTCCAGAAGGTCACTGACCTATAAGTTCAAGGTCATTTACTATGGCAATGTTCACAATAGCAAATTGGAAACAACTAGATGTCCAACAGTGGGGGATGGCTAAATAAATTGTGGCACCCTCACATGATGGAATACCAGCCAGTCACACAAGGGAGGCCATGGGGAAACTACCTCAGTGTTGTGGGGGTCACCGCTGAGGGAGGAGGATCACTTGAATCTGGGAATTTGAGATTTCTGTGAGCTAGGCTGATTCCAGGGCACTCTAACCTGGACAACAGAGTGAGACTGTCTCAAAGAAATAAAAAAAATTAAAAATAAAAAATGAAGCCACCAGAGAAAAGACAGAAACCACTGAGGGAATCCCAATTTTACATTTCTCTTCCTATACTTATGGATTAAAGAAAAAAAAAAGTCCTGGAGAGAAAATGTTGACAGTGACTCTTGCCAAGGTCAATGGTAAGAGGTGGGATTGAAGGTGATTTATCGTTTATGCTTGTCTGTATTTTTCGGAATTTCTACCATGACTGTGTATTTTGCATGACACATTTAATAATAAACACTGTTTTTAGAGTGACATATACCAGCCTTCCCTTTCTCCACAAAAAGACCTCACAAGGCCACAAGACTGATTGGGAGCTGAGTCCCTGCCCTGGGTCATGCTCTGAGTGTGGGCTCTTTAGGCAATTCTCCTGGACCCTTGAATATGCCTGGTTTTCAGGTGAGGGAAACTGAGGCTCAGATGGGGGTTAGAGGTTCTGTTCTTCCAGGTCCCACAACTCAGGAGAGGAGGCTGCAATTTTGCGCTAGGTCTGGCTCATTTCAAGGCTTGAGTCCCCCTCTTTGCACTGAGGTGCAGGAACTGTGGACCTGGGTGCTTATATGCCAGATAGGGGAAACTGAGGCTCAGGGCCTCACCCAGGGTCTAGACCAGGGTCGGCAGTAGTGCTGGGACTATAAGGCAAACCCTTTAGTTGATCACCCATTTACAATAACATGAGAGACTCCCATGAGGGTCCATGCTGTCACCGGGTTGGGTCTAGGAGGGAAGTGCTCAGCCTGGGCCTGGGGTTCTGATTCTCCTGTCCCAGTCCTCATGAACTCAGGCTTTATCCCCAGAGAAAGGAGCCCACAGCCCTTCAGAGCTCCTAGGAAAAGTGCCCGCTGGGCCTGATGAGGTCACAAAGCCCTTCCAGAGAAGGCTCCTCCCCCAGGCCAGAGCTGTCCACCCTCTCGGGGCCATGGCCCAGGCCCGAGCCTCCCTCCCCATTCTCCCTAACTGCTGGGCACCCAGCACCTGAGAAGCCCAAGGGTTCAAAGCCAGTGGGCTGAGGTGGGACCAGCCGCCTGCCTGGGTCCCAGGTCCCTTAGTCAGTATCCTGCCTGCCACTTCTGTAATCACCATGAACCGGCCTCGGAATGTCAGGCACTTCGACCCACCCCATGGCCACTCGAAGTGGGTCCCCATTCTAGGGGAGCTGCAGAAGACCCTCCAGAAGGGCGAGTACTTGCCCCTCCGTCCACTGCCCATGTTCGAGAGTAACTTTGTCCAGGTCCCCTGCTCCTGGCACCCTGCGGGCTGGGAAGGGCAGGAGGGGACCAAGACCACCTGGCTTGAGGGATTTTGAGAGGGATGGGGATCTGGGCTTCTACAGCTGGGGGCTTGGGCTGGAGGTGCCAAAGGCTTGTTAGAGGAAGGTATGGTCCCAGCCCCTGTCCCCGGCCACCCCAGGTGACAAATCGAGGTGGCCCGGTGTATGTACATCACGGAACCAACCGGCTGACCATGGGCGTGGCCGCCTCCCTGCCAGGCCTGATGCTGCCTGACATCTTGCTGATCGCCCGGCACCCCGAGGGCAGGGAATGTGCAGGCCTCGTCCTGACCAGGTGCCTTCCTGCCCCCATCCCTGGCCTGCCCCTCTGCTGCCCCCTGCTCTAGCCATCTTCTCCTCTGTCCCCCCAGATTGATCCCCCTGGACCTCGTCCACCTCTATGTCCATGACTTTTTCACCTGGCGCCTGAAGCTGCGCCTGGTCACCGGCCGCTACTACTACCTGGAGCTAGAGGCCCCAGACAGTGAGGTGGCCTTTCTGTTCGACCGCTGGATCCGCCTCATCAACCTGCTTCGGGAGCCTGCAACCACCTGGACCCCCAGGACCATGCACACACCTCCCCTGGATGTTTCCCTGGCTGAACCTCCTGCCTCCACCTGGCATCTCCAGGTGGGGCCCCAACTCCACAAATAACATAGGACAGCAGCCCTAGGAACACACCATCCAGATTCCAGAGGGAATTGGGACCAACAGTCCAGTTTCAGGGTCCTGGGGGAAATGGGGCTGGTATCCTAGACAACTAGGTCTGAGGGAGGAGGGCACAGACCCCTGGGGACAGACCCCTGGGTCCAAGAGAGGATGGGCTGGGGGACTGGATCCCTGGGTCTGAGGAAAAAAGAGCTGGGGGACTACACCGCTGGGTCTAAGAGAGGAGGGGCTAGGGGCTGGGACCCCTGGGTCTGAGGGAGGAGGGCTGAGGACCTGGACCACAGGCTGAGAAGCTTATGGAGATGTGGAAACCAGAGAGGGCAGTAATCCCTTCTGACGCCTCTTTCCTCTCCACAGGATCCACCCCTTTGCAAACGTACAGGTGAGCAGACCCTCCCACCCTCAGGCCTCCTCTAGGCCTCAGGTTCTCCAGCCCAGGCGAGGACAAAGCTCCAGCACCTGGGCTCTTAACCCTCTCACTGGACAGAAGCCTTCATTTACTCCTCAGGGCCTGACCTTTTGTCCTTAGCTGGAGACCCCTGACCAGGGTCTCTCTCCTCTTCTCTTTCCAGTCACAGTTGCCCAGCCCTCCCTTCCTAATAAGACACTGACAGCTCAGAGACAAAAGAAGGTCAAGGTGAGCTGGCTGGTGGCAGGCCCAGTGGAGTCTGGGGCCCAACAGATGGCTGCTCCTCCTCTGACTGTTCCTCCCTCCCCTCACCGCCAGGCCCTCAAGCGAAGATTCAAGTCTCAGGCCGTGGGTGACTCCGTGCCCCTCATCTGGTCACAGCTGGAACATGCTGACGTTAAAAAGAAATCCACAGAAAAGAAGTGGGCTGGGGATCTTGCTGCCTGTGAGGGCTGGGAGGAGGGGGACACTGGCTTGGATGGCATCCAAGTCCCACAATATTGCTCCTACAGGCCTCACTCAGACGTCTGTGCTGATAGGTCTCACACCCAAATCCACACTTCCGGTAAGTAAGACCACCCATCTCCCTCTGCCTCCCTCTATGTTTGCAGCCTCCTGCAGCTCTGGTCCTCTCCCTGGAGGCTCACACTACTTCCTTTCCACACAGAGAAAACCAGCATCACCATCAGGACCATCTTTAGCATCATTTCCAGCACCATCAACCAGGCACAGTCCCCTTCAAAGGCCAGCTGGTCACTAGGGGCATGGGTCAGGCTCTGGGTCTGAGGGAGGAGGCTCTGAGGTCCCAGACCCCTGAGTGTAAGAGAGGAGAGGCTGGAGGCTGGGACCCCTGGGTCTGGGCTCTCCCCCAGCCCTGACATCCACCCCACCCATCTGTCCACCTACAGGCCTACGCATCTGACTCTGATGAGGCTACAGGGCAGCGGCGTTTGCTTGAGACGCCATCACACTGCCTCTCAGATGAGGGTCCTGATTTCTTCTTTCCGGGCTCCCATGGTCACTGGCACCCACACTTGTGGCAGGCCAATATTGAAGACCTTATGGACTTTGAGTCCAGCACTTTGTCCTCCGCCTCCTTCAGCCCAGCTTCCTTCCCTCCTGCTGCATACCTGTCCACACCCTATTCCTTCCCCAGGGCCAGTGAAAAGCCTAGGTTCGTGGGCTCCCGGCAGGGGCGGGGGCCACCAGCATCCGAGAAAGCCCCGTGTGTCTCTGCCCCATCTTATAAGACCCCATTCGTGGTTGACCGGTCCCAGAAGACCCCAGCTGACCCTACTCTCTCCCAGAAGGCCCCAGCACTCCATCCTCCACCCTGGAAGGCCTTGGCTGTAGCTGGGCCATCCCAGAAGGTCTCCACCACACCTGGTCCCCCTCAGAAGGCCCCACATGTATTGGCTATTCCTCCAAAGACCCCAGCCATACCTCGTTCATACTGGAAAGACACACCTGTATTGGCTGTCCCCCAGAAAGCCCCACCTGCACCTGCTCTTCCCCAGAAAGCTATGTCCTACCCTGTCCCAAACGGGGGATCTGGTTCATCCCAGAAGGCTCTGACCTCACCTGTCCAACAGCACACAGCACTTGGCTCACCCACCTTGAGTGGGAAGGTCCCTGCGGATTTTGATATTGCACCAGCAGGAATTCCTGGAAGGGATATGCTCCAGAGAAGCAAGCCTGAAGGGAAGCCTGAGCCAGTGGTGATGGCGGGCACACAGGAGATGAATGTGGTGGAGATGAAGACCCAGACAAAGGCCCTGGAGTTGCCCTTCAGCACAACCAAGAAGAAGTCTGAGGAAGTTGTGATCAGCAAAACCCAGGAGATGACCATGGAGGGCTTGAGGGGCTGGGTGAAGTCAGAGGACAGGGTCCACCAGGCACAGGAGGAGTTGTCCGTGGAACTGCCTGGCCTGAGGTCCAAGGAGATGGAACAGCAGAAGAGGTGGGTCAAAATGAAAGAGTTGGCCATTGAGGGCCCTCCTGAGGAGCACAGAAGACCCTTCTCGGTGGAGGGGCTCGCTCTTGCCAAAATGATGATCATAGCCAATTCCAAACAGCAGCACTTGAGACCCACTTTGGTCTCACTTCCCTCCTGGCTTTCAGTGACTTCCCATGCCTCTACTACGCCAACAGTGGGCTCAATGCTCACCAGCACCAAACAGCAGTCCTCCCTGCAGGGGCCACCAGTGATGAATAGGGAGTGGTCAGAGTCACACACTTGGGTGAAAGACAACAAGGAACCATGGTCAGAGATGCAGGAGGTGCCCCAGGACAGAGCAAAGCCCCCCAAGGTAACCTTCCACTCCAAGCCCACCTCCAGCAGCCCAAAGATGGAAAATGTCTCCAAGATGCCCATCCCTTTGCCGGCCTCGAGGTGGGAGGACTTACCTCCATCACCCCTCCTGGACACCCCCACCTCAAGAATGGAGGAGACCACAGCCAGGGTGCTCCAGCAGCCCATGAGGACAAATCAAGAGCCTGTGAATGTGCCGAATCAGGGTTCCCTGACCACAGTGGGGTCAGTCTCACAAATTATCTCACCTGTGATAGTAGAAATTGGGAATATGAGGGACATGGCCATCAAGGTGGGGTAGACAAAAGAGGAATCCCCCTATCTTTAATCCTCCCCCCAGGTATTTGGGGTTAACAGCTAGCATTTACTGTCAGCTCTGTTATCTGCAAGGCAGAAACCATCATTCCCTGCTGTCACTTTTATTCATGCACTCAGTGTATAGTGAGTGCCAACTATGTGCCAGGCATTGTTCTAGGTAGGCATTAGGGAGGTAGAGTCCTACAACAGGGGTGGCAGTGGTGGGCTGTGCCAGTGGGTAGAGACTGGGGACACTGAGTAACACCTTGCAATGCACAGGGTAGACCCCACCACAGAAGAGGAAGGACTTATTGATCTGGGATGATCATCAGTGTAAAGATCTGAAAGAGGGGGGAGGAAGACATCTGGGGGGAAGCATCCCTGCAGAAGGGACACACTGCCAAGTCCCTGAGGCAGGAGTGTGTGCAATGTGCTGTACCAAGAATGAGCTCCCTGGTATCTCAGAGGAGGAAGTGCAGTCAGAGTTGTCACAGGGGGGCATCTGTCACCCTTCATACAGGAATCTGCAGACAATTTTAAGGACTTTGGCTACACTCTGAGCTGGAGGGTTTGGGGCAGGAGAATGGCAGGAAGCAATTTATGTTTGAAAGGGCTCTCTGGGGGGAGTGTAGAGAATGCAGAGGGGACAAGGGTGGGGGGCAGGAGACTGCAGAGGATGCTGTAGCAATAACCTGGGTAGAAGTTCTTAGTAACTGGTGCTGAAAATGATGGGCTCTGGAGAGACTTAGAAGTGAGCCAGCAGATTGCTTCACACATCAGGCACATGATGAGAGAGAAAGGCTGACATTGTAAGCACAGGGTGGAGTCAGAGCTCATGAGTAGACCCACTCCTTCCAAGGAATTTGCAGGAAAGAGAGACACACAGGCAGCTAGCTGCTGCAAGACGTGGACAGGGTGAGAGCTTCTCTCAACTACCATATCTACTAATGTGACCTGTCCAGAGTCAAGCCCACTATTAACAAGGCAGGAAAGAAAGAGACTTAGCAGGGTCAAAGGGTGAATGAAGCCACTTGCCCAGACTCCAGGTTTCGTTTGCCTGCCTTGAAAGTGGCACTAATTCATTGGGCACGGAGTTACTGTGCCTTTACTACAGCCCTGCCCTGCCCTAGGGAGATGCAACAGCGACGTAAACGCACAGCAAGTCCTGCACTCTCCTGAGCCATGCAGCCGCTCCTGCCCTCCCCCAACCCTGGGTCCTCCTCTCTCCCTGCCAAGTCCCCCAAAGCCCTCTCTGGTCTCTGGTTTTCTTCCTCCCTGCAGTGAGTTTCAATAACAGGATGCAGGTGACTCAACTTCAGTCGACAACTGTCCAGAGGAGCCCAACATGGCCAGGTACGGCCAGGTACCCCTGAGACCTGTGCTAGACCTGGGGAGGGGATGTCCCGGGAGCCCAGACACAACCATCACTCTTTAATCCCACAGGTCCCCAGGGTGCTGTGCACCCCGACTGTAAGAAGCAGAGTGGTGAAAAGGCCGGTTGGGGGGACTGCTCCCTCTCCGGTAGAGACAAGAACTATCTGTAGATTTATATAATGGGGGTGAGGGGCGGGGCAGGGGAAAGCACACGGAGTAGCCTAACTTCGCAGAGATTAAAACCCTGAGTCTGAGATTCAGCCAAAGTCTTGAGTCGGTGGCTGTGTGTGCAAGCGCGGGCTGCGAAGGCGGAGTCGGATGGGGGAGTGTCCAGAGACCGCCCCCTGTTCTGAGTGGTCCCTACGCAGCCGCTCCCATTGGCTGGCGCTCCAGAGATCCCAGCCAATCCATTCGTGGGTCATGATTTTCCCGACCTGGGTAAGAAGCTAGGGGTACCCGGAGAACCACAGGCAGAACTGATCCGGTGACCTGCGGATATAAGTATGGTGAGGGCAGGACGGGTGGGGTTTCGGGGGTGTGGGGACCAGGAGCTGGGTGTGGGTCTGGGCGAGGGGCACCCCTTAGGCCCCACGGAGCCCTCCTCCCGCTCCGCAGGAGCTGCCTCTTCCGTTTATGCTGGATGCTGATGCCCAGAAGCCCCCCATGGGAAAATGGCCAACGCCACCGTTCGACCCTCGCTTCCCCAACCAGAATCAGACCCGTAACTGCTACCAGAACTTCCTGGGTGAGACCCGGTGGGCCAGTTAGGAGGGAGCAGGGTTGAGTGACGAGGGGAAGCAGGTAGGAGCGAGCCCCAACTAAAGACCCCAGAGACCGTTGGGGTGGGAGGCGGAGCGGGCCCAGATGGTCGCAGAAGGCAGAGCCTGGCTTTAAAGAGGGGCACCGGACCCACCACGAGAGGCGAGACCTAGCCGGGGCAGCGAGGGGTTGGTGGTGGGAGGGTCCTTCTGCGGTCTGGGCGTGGCTGGCCGCATGGCCCCGCCCACTGCGCCCCGCAGACTACCACCGCTGCGTCAAGGCCATGAACCGCCGGGGGAAGAGCACAGAGCCCTGCGAGTACTATTTCCGCGTGTACCGCTCGCTGTGCCCAATCAGCTGGGTGAGCCGGCAGAGGGGCGAGAAGCGGGATGGGTGGAGGGCCTGGGCGGCTGAGGCTGAGCTGGTGCCCCGCTGCCCGCCTTCCTGCCTCCTCAGGTGCAGCGCTGGAACGAGCAGATCAAAGAAGGCACCTTCGCTGGCAAAATCTGACTGCTGGCGGCTTCCTCTTCTCGCCTCCCGGAGACCCGAGTTCCGTGACCACTCAACCCGGCAATCTCTAAGCCGCAAATAAAGTTATGTCGTTGCTGATGTTTCTTCTTCTTCTTTGATTTTGTGAGACAGAGTCTCAAGCTGTTCCCCTAGGTAGAGTGATGTGGCATCACAGCTCACAGCAACCTCAACTCTTGGGCTTAAGCGATTCTCTTGCCTCAGCCTCCCAAGTAGCTTGGACTACAGGCGCCCGCCACAACGCCTGGCTATTTTTTGGTTGCAGTTGTCATTGTTGCTTAGCAGACCTGGGCCGGGTTGGAATCTGCCACCCTAAGTATATGTGGCCGGCGCCCTTGCAGACTAAACTACGAGCGCACCGCCGAGCGCCGTCGATGGCCAGTCACACGCTGACAGAGCAACTTACTTATTTCCCTCCCTCCTTCCCTCCCTCCTTCCTTCCTTACTCTGTTGCTCTGGGTTCAGTGCCATGACATCATCATAGCTCACAGCAACTTCAAGCTTCTGGTTTCAAGTGCTCCACCTGCCTCAGCCTCCCAAGTAGCTGGGATTACAGGCGCCCGCCACCATGCCTGGCTCATTCTTCTATTTCTAGTAAAGACAGGCCTCCCTCTTGCTCAGGCTGGTCTCCAACTCCTGAGCTCAAGGTTTCCACCTGCCTCAGACTTCCAGAGTGCTGGGATTATAGGCGTGTGCCACCCACACCAGGCATTGGCGCTGCTTTTTCTAATTAGCTGGACAGGAGCAGGATGGCTGCTCCATCAGGTAGAATGAGGACAGTCAGGGAGGGCCATGAGGTAGGAAGAAGGATCAAGCCATGTGACATGTGACTCGGGTACCCTCCCTTTCCATTTGACAAGTAGGGGCCTCATCTTGACAGCACCAGAGAGCCAGCCCAGGTTCCTCCAGATCTCAACACTTTCCCACCCAGGGGGTTCCATGGTGCTCCTGTCAATCCCCACACTCACCTGTCACCAAGTGTTTCCTATCCTCCCCTCTCACCTGGACTATTTCCCTAGCCTCTTACTCCACCCCACCTCCATTCATGCTGTGGAAGGCATTGAAAGTTCATCTTTGCACACCCAGCACTTTCTGCACCACCACCACCACCACTTTCTGGGCTCTCTACCACTGTCTATCATGCCCCTGGCCCTGCCCAGCACCACCTCCTTCCTAGAACATGGAGGTTCCATCACATGAGCCACTACTTCCCACGGGGTCCCCTGAGCTCTTCACCTCCACATGGTCAGCACCTGGGTCCAGGGCCAGAGCAGCCACCAACTCTGCTCTTCAACATTGTGCTGGACAGTGAGACTAGCTGACCAGATGGGCAGCTTGGGAATGATCCCATGAAGCAGCTCTGGAGCTTCTGAAACAGGCCTGCACCCTGGTCCCTCCCATGACACCATCACCCAGCTTTCCCATGACCCTTTCAAACTGTGAGCACATTAAATTATCAAGAGTCCCTCCTCTGAGTTTTCCTTGGCTCCTTCTCCATCCAGTGGCCACAGCACTGAGCTGTACTCTTGATTCCAGGTGCCTTTTATGGTATGGCCTCTAACCAGAACAAGGAGGGCCACTTGACAGAGCAAGGGGGTGTTCTGACCTGGTCCTGCCAAGGTCTGGCCAGGAAACCAGTTTGCCTGGAGCACTGGCTTCCTGACTGTTGCTGCCTGAGGCTGTCAGCCACCACTGCCTCCACATACATTGGACCTTAGTGGCAAAAGCAGTCTCATAAGGCCCTATTTAACCTTGGAGTTAAAAGGTGACTGTGACTAGTCATGATGATCGTGGGTAACCCTAGAAAAGCTTCTTGACTTGTGTGAACCTCAATTTCTCAAGCTGAAAACTGATAGCTCAGGGTCCCTTTTTTTTTCTTTTTTTGAGACAGTCTCACTTTGGCACCCTCCATAGAGTGCTGTGGTGCATAGCTCACAGCAACCTCAAACTGTTGGGCTCAAGTGACTTTCTTGCCTCAGCCTCCCAAGTAGCTGGGACTACAGGTGTCCGCCATGCCTGGCTATTTTTAGAGATGGGGTCTCGCTCTTGTTCAGGCAATCCAACCTTCTCAGCCTCCCAGAGTGCTAGTAATACAGGTGTGAGCTACTGTGCCTAGCTCAGTGTCCCCTTATCAAAAGAGGTGGAGCAGGCTGGGTTTCTGTAGCGCAGTGGTTAGGGCACTGGCCACATGCTCTGGGATGGTGGGTTCAAATCTGGCCTGGGCTTGCTAAACAAAACAAACAAACAAAATAGCTGGGTGTTGTGGCAGGCGCCTGTAGTCCCAGCTACTAGTGAGGCTAAGGCAAAAGAAT